GGGGAAAAAAAAAAAATAAAAAATAAAGGGCCCGCATCTCGTCGTGAGGCAGCATAAAGCTGCCGCGGCGTTCGAACGCGGCACACTCGTGCAGTGCGCGTTCGAGTCGAATCGAGCGTTCCCCAGCTTGTGTGGGAAAGCTCTACACGGCCCCGTGCAGCGAGTGAACGCGCGAGAGAGAGAGAGAGACACAGAGAGAGAGAGAGAGAGAGAGAGAGAGAGAGAGAGAGAGAGAGAGAGAGAGAGAGAGTCATGTGGGGACATCAGTGTGCGTATGCAGGAGGTATTGGGGCAGATCAGCTTCGTGGACCCGGATAGTTTCTCCCCTGCCATGCGCGCAGAGGTGGTGCCGGGGGCAGAGGACGATGAGGACCGGACACCCCCTGGAGAGACATCTGCGGAGAGGCTGGATAGGCTTGACAGTCGTCGAGTTTGCCTCTTGGCACAGAGGGACCCGAGGACGCAGGAGTTGGCCCATCTTGCGGCCGAGGAGCAAGCGAGACAGCTGGGAACATTTACGCCGACGTCCGTTGACGTAGCGAGGTGCCCACACGGATCCTCCAGCAGAGGATCGCGATACGACGCAGCGGGAGGCGGCTTTAGCCGAGGCTTATAGTACGGGTGTGGATGTTCAGCAGGGGACGCACGAGAGTGGGTTGGCACCGCCAGAGGAGCCGGTGCAGCCTCCTGCCGTCCAGCGGAGTCCCGAGGAGACGTTGCATGAGGCCACGGGCGGGCCTCTGCCCGCAGGTTTGGTTGAGGGTGCCGTGCAGATGTCCCCGGGTCTGGAGGACATACAGACAGGGCGGTCAATCGGCGCAGATGATATTCGGCCATCGGCACAGGCGGAGGAGATGGCACCGACCACCGGGGGGGAGGGGGGCATGGCGGGCGCCGTTGATGTTGGCGGGGCGGGGATGGGGGAGGAGGTTGATCCGATGTCCGGGGGCGGAGATCCCGCACAAGACGAGAGCCGTGACACAGACGGACGGGAGATGCCGACGACTTTGGTCGTTCGCACGACTGTGGGGCTTGTGGTGCCATATCTGGCACCGTTTTTGGAGGAGCACAGGCGTCGTGCACATGGTGGTGGCCCGGTCGAGGAGTGACGTGTAGGCAGGGGCGCGTGCTTACCTCCGGTCCCTGTATTTGCGCCGTCACGGGAGAGGCCGGAGGTTTGTGGCTGCACCTCGGGGCAGCCTCCCTTTTGGTTTTATGACCGCCGACGAGTTGGAGGAGCACGGGACGATGGATTTGACGGAGAACGACCAGCGTATTCTCAAGTCAGCCCCGAAGGAGGAGGATCATCGGCCTCACGTGCAGGATCTGTCTTGGGGGCCAGCCAGCCCCAGCTTACCTTCTGGAGGTTCCGTCGCAGCGCCATCTGGCGAGCCTGCAGGCCCTTCGTCACCAGCGAGTGTAGCTGCCAGGGAGGGTGGTAGTCTCACCCCGAGGTCGGCTGCCCGTAGACGGAGAGATACTACCGAGCGTGCGCGGGCCTTGTTGGACACTATGTTGTTCGGTCGCACTGATTGGCCTTGGAGTGAGACGAGACGGGTGACGACGACGAGTGTCAGTCGTCAGCCAGGTTTGGGAGGGGCTTCCACGAGCGAGAGACGTCGAGATGTTGCAGCTTCAGGGTTTAGCGGCAGAGGCGGTGCTGGCGGTGGCAGCGGTACAGGCGGTGGGGGCGGTGGCGACGGCGACAGCAGACGTGAGGGCGCACGCGGTGCCGCGACGAGCGCAGTGGATCCGCCGTTGACGTACGGTTTGAGAGAGGCGTCGATCATTTTGCAGGAGCCAGACGTTGTTACACGACCGAGACATGCCCGACATGTGCCCGTAGATCGACGTCGGGAGGGAGAGACTTCAGGGACAGACGGTCTACCCATGGCACGTGAGTCACGCCGTCATGATGACCTTGCAGCCGCCTCATGTCCCAGGACGCTGAGAGACAGGAGACTCATTATGGACGACGACCCAGACGACCCTCCCGAGCCTTCCACTGTCGGACGCGGCGGGCAGCGTCAGAGAGATCGAGGAGGTGGCAGTGGCCGGCCCCACGGGCGAGGTTTTCACGACGATCGTTGATGGACTACGGACTTGCATTTTCTCGACTTTCTCCGTGTAGTTCAGTTTTTTTGTTATCTATGATAGACGTAGTGTTTCGTGATAGACGTAGTGTTTTAGTTTTTCTGTTATCCATGATAGATGTAGTGTTGCACTCGCTACTTTTTAAGCAGTTTAGTACTTCGGGGTTTGTATCTTTTTAGTCTTATTTTTTTTACTACTTTTTCGTCGGCATTTTTGAGTTGATACTTCTTTCCATACACTGGCGTGGCTTCGAGACGACGTGTCTGATTTTTGTTGTTACCCATACTATATTGGTTTGCAGTTTGCTTCGATTATATCTTGGCGTTTGCAACGTTCCCGTTTGTTGTGTGTGACTGCGTATGTGTGTGTCTGCGTGTGTGTGAATGTGTGTGTATTTGTGTGTGTAAATGGTTGTAGGCTAAAGTGCAAAAAAAATAAAATTGAAAAAAAATAATAATAATAATGTGCCCGTGTATGTGCAAGGGTGTGAATTTGTGTGTATGTGCGTGTGTGAATGTGTGTGTGTATGTGCGTGTGTGTTTGTGTGTGTGTGTGTGTGTGTGTGTGTGTGTGTGTGTGTGTGTGTG